CATACATCCTCATATTGTACGATCCTATGACTAACTCCCTCCCTCCCTCCTTCCCTCCCTTCTTGCTATCCTTCCTTCCTTACTTCCTTCCATGCATCCATCTATCCATCCATCTCTTCCTTCTCTCCTCCCATTCATCCATCCATCCATCCATCCATCACCCATCTATCCCTCCTTCCTACTGTCTTTTATCTGTCCATCCTCCATCCATCCATCATCCATCCATCCATTCTTCATTCAGTCTTTCCATCCATCCATCCATCCATCCATCCACCCACCCACCTGTTCATCCATCCATCCATCCATTCTTCATTCAGTCTTTCCCTCCCTCCCTTCTTGCTATCCTTCCTTCCTTCCTTCCTTCCTTCCTTCCTTCCTTCCTTCCTTCCTTCCTTCCTTCCTTCTTTCCTCCCATCCATCCTCCATCCATCCATCCATCCATCCATCCATCCATTATCCCTTTCCTCCATTAATCTATTCCATTTATCCCTCATCCATCTATCCATCATTTGTTTGTTGTTGTTGTTAAGTGTTGTCGAGTCATAGGCCACTCATAGCAACCCTATAAATGAAAGACCTGGACCCTTGTATAACTTTCATCGTTTCTCCAGGTTCATAGGTTTTCTGGAGGCAAGTTATTTTGGAAGTGGATGCCACTCCTGCTTCCAAGCTTGATTTAATCGGAGAGCTCCACCAAACACTGTCCACCATGGGCAGTCATTCTCACATTTGGCACATCAGTGTCACAGTGTTCATCTGTCCTATTATCCTCGGTCCCCCGCTCCGATGCCATGGTGGCAGAACAACCACGACACACTTCACCAGCTCATTTGGTGGGTCTGCCACACTCTCTTAATTCCTTGTGCACTCAACACCAAGCTTTCTCAGTTTGACCTCATGACTGGAAGCATGGCCAAAGCCCAAGTTAATCAGGAGCTCAACATTCTTCCTGTAATAGTCCTTATGCTGTCTTCCCCCCCCCCCCCTTTTAGCCAGGAGTGAACAATGTGCTGGACTATGGCCTGGACAGAGTGACCAATCCGAATGAAATTAAGGTAAACCAGGTACGTTGCTGCACTCAGAGATGCTCAGTGGCTGCTTTGTACTTGGGCCACAACTCATATCAGGCTTTGAGGCTGGAAGGGTGTCCATCCATCTACTTGTGTCTTTAGGGCAACGATATCTCTTCTTTAAGACTCATAAAGAGAGAGAAGGACTGTGGGTTCCATTGATATAAGCAGTCAACTGATTAGTTGATGTCATGTTAACTTCCACTCATGGCAGCCTTGTGCCTATGAGAGTAGACTTGGCCTCTGTAGGGTTTCCATGGCCTGGATTTTTTGGAGTAGATTGCCAAGTCTGTTTGTTGTTGTTTTTTCTTTCTTTTCTGAGATACTTCTGAGTGGACTTGAACTGCTGAGCTTTCAATAATCCAGGCTACAACTAGTTAGGTGATTTGACTGCTTTCTGTCTACTATTGTTTGGACAGGGCTTCCAACCAGTTCAAACTGGTTATGATGCAGTGAAATCAGAGCAGACCTGAATTTTGAAAATGCGGTGTACCATAGCAGTCACTGGAATGTGTAGGCATTTTACGCTGAAGCCATGGAACGGGAGACTCAGAAGAGGGGTAGGGAACCCTTTCAGGGGCCTGATGCAGAAGATGGGACTGTGCCGGCACTGTGGAGAGGGCCACATGGTCAAAGTACTGCGCTCGCTGCCATCTTTGAGTCGGGCACTGTTGTTTAAGACTGTGTTGACCAAGAGACATAGTTGAGAAACACACGTGCTGCCCTTATCTTCTGAAAGGGAGGTTACGTTTTTAACAGGGCATCATCCTACCATTTTTCCTGTTCTGGTACATCCACATTTTATAAGTTTGGATCTGTTCAGGTTTGCCTGGTTAGCTGTGTCTGAACCAGTAAGAACTCGTTCAAAGTCTGCTCCTCGGCAACCAGGAGTCAGTCGTCTTGTTGCCCTGGGTGTCATCTCTAAGGCTAGGCGATGTCTTAGGGCCTGAATGGGGGTCAGGAATGGCAAATGGGAAAGGAGGAAGGGGAATTGGAAGGGAGAAGAAAAAGGGGCAGGACAGAGTGCCACTTGAAAGGCTATGTGCCTGGCACCTGGGGTCTGGAACTAGGAGGCTGTGAGGTCGTGTGTGACAGAGGCCCTGGTTCAGGGAGGGAGGACTGGAGGAAGAAGGATGTCATGTCACCTGACAGTGTCACCCACGAGCCTTGGTGGCCCTTCTCCATCGCTGGCCATGACCCTGTTCCCATACACACCAGCTCTCAGCCCTGGCTGGCTGTTCCCATCACAGCCTTCCACTTTCCTCTTGTCAGATAACAGATAATTGCTGAGGCCTTGTAGGCTTGGTTGCCATAGAAACAGAATCATCAAGTAAAATACTGAACCTGGGTGGAAGATTTGTTTTTTTATGGATAAGTGGCAGCTCTGGAAACCTCTCTGGGTGGAGGAGGGGGAATGAGGAGGTGGAAAGCTGTCACCCACCCTGACCTGGGGGAGTGTTGCTTCTGAAGGGCTTGTCTGTGACCCAGGGTGTCTCAGGGGAGGCCAGCCAGCCAGGATCTTCCACGTGAAATTGTGTACCTGTGTGTACGTGCACATGTAACTGTTGAATATTCATGTGTGAGTGTGAGAGTGAGAAAATAATTGTATGCATGACAATGCCTGAGTAGAGATTGTGTCCGTGTGTGTGCACATGTGAGTATATATGGTGTGTGTGAGTGTGTATGTGAAGTGTGCCTGTGTGCATCTGTGAGGTACGTGAGGTTGAGGGGTATGCCTGAGATGTCGGTGTGTGTCATGTGTGAGCGGGGTGTGTGAGGGTATATGGTATGTCTGAGTGTGTGAGCGGGGTGTGTGAGGCTTGGGGGGAGTGTGTGAGGGTGTGATAAGGGAAAGCGTGTGTCTGGTGTCTATGAGGGTGTGTGGTATGTGAGTGTGTGAGGCACGTGAGTACATGTGAGTGTGAGGTGTGTTTGAGTGTGTGGTATGTGAGTGTGGTGTGTGAGGCTGTGAGTGTGACTGAGTGTGTCAGAGTGTAAAGCATGTGAGTGATGTGTGAGGTGTGTTTGAGCGTGTGGTATGTGAGTGTGTGTATGAGGCAGTGGAGGATGGCTGAGTGTGTCAGAGTGTGAAGCGTGTGAGTGATGTGCGTGTGAGGTGTGTTTGTGCGTGTGCTATGTGAGTGTGGGGTGTGTGTGAGGCAGGGGCGTGTGTCTGAATGTGTGAACTTGTGGTATATAAAAGCATGTGCCTGCGATGTGGGTATGTCTGAGGGTGTGAGAGTTTGTGGCGTGTGAAATGTGTGTGTATGTGTGAGCATGCATGTGTCGGGGTGCAGTTGGGGTGCTTCTCTAACTCTAGCTCTCGGGAGGTGGGTCCTGGCAAGGTCAAAGGGCAGGGAGTGAGATAGGGTGGCCTCCCGCTGGGGAAAGCTCCCTCTGCTCCCCTTGTGTCAGGCAGGGAAGTGTGTCTGGCTCAGAAACCACTTCTGGCCGGATGCTCTCCTCAGCCCCGTCAGAGCGGAGTGTGAGGCTCTGGTGACGTGGGTGGGGCTGTGCCTTCAGCTTTGTTTACTTCTTATCTCCACTCACAGTCTCTCTCTCTCTCTCCCCCCAGCTCTCTTTCTCCTCTCTGGGTTCCCTGGCTGCAGTGGCGTCTTCAGGAGAATTAGGAGCTGTCTTTCTCCATCAGCAGAGCTCCAGCCTGTGTCAGCTCCAGCCGCTGAGGGACATGGAGGCTGGGCCTAGTCTGTATGCATGGGTCTCATGGCCCTGCGGCCTGTCAGCACACTTTGTCCCCCGTTTTCTGCCCCGGGATAGGGGTCTGGAAGCCCCAAGAGTGCAGAGGTTTTGGGGATTCTGCCTCAGAGCAGAGATGAGAACAAACAGTCCATGAAGTGTCTTGGAAAAGAGGTCATGTCTGACAATTAACAAGGTCTTAGAAAGACACTTGTTTTGCTTAAATGGGGACAAATAATGAAAGAAAGGAAACCGTACAAGTGTATAAGGCATTGCTGGCTGGCGCAGAGTTAAGCCCTCATCTGCTAACTGAAAGGTTGCAGGTTCATGTCCACTTAGAGGTGCCTTGGAAGAGAGAGTGGTAAGCTCATCTCTCCCTCAACCCCCCCCTCCCCCAGCCATTGAGAGCCCTTCAGAGCTCAGCTCTCCTCTGACACATATGGGTCATAATGAGTTAGCGTTGACATCTGGGCAACTGGTTTCACTTAAGAATCAAGACTCTTGTTAGGTCAGCAGTTAACTTTCTCGGGGTGCAGGCCCTGGTCTGTGAGGCTGCCCCGCCCTGAGAGGAGTGGCCACAGGCAGGGCCTAGCCTTCCTTCCTTGGACACCGTGAGGCATTGGAGGTGCCAAGTTGGCACAGCCATCCCTCTTCTCCTTTTATCCAGAGAAAGTTTTGACCCTGCAGAGGAAGACTGAGTGGCCACAGCCTGGACATGCTCAAGGATGGTCAGGAAGTGAAGGGGGGCTGGTCAGGACAGGGGTACCACTGTCACTTAAAGAGGCGTGGCCTTTCTATGTTCAGAAACAAGTGTTAGCATCCCCGCCCTGCCTGTCACAGGCTGGGTGGTCTCAGGAAGCCACTGAGCCATTCAAAGGCAGTTAGTGAACTGGACATGGTAATAAGCCGTCGGACCTTCTGTTGCCTCATATGCATGTGGAAGCTGGACGGTGAATCAGGGAGGCTGAAGAAGAATTGATGCCTTTGAATTGTGATGTTCACAGAGTACTGAGTATCCCGTGAATGGCCGGAAGAACAAACAAGCATGTCCTGGGGGAAGTGCGACCATAGTGCTCCTTAGAGCAAAGGCTGGGGAAATTCCTTTTGCATCCTTTGGATATGCTGTCAGGACTGACTGGTCCGTGGGCAAAGACCATCATGCTTAGAACAGTAGAGGATCAGCAGAGGAGACGAAGACCCTCTGTGAGATGAATTGACCCCGTGGCTGCCACAGGGGCTTGAGCATGAGGGGATGGCGAGGGTGCTGGAGGGACAAGACAAGGGTCCAGTCTGCTGTTCCTAGGGTCACTCTGAGGTGCGGTCAAGCCTGTGGCACCTAACAACAACGGCAGAGGGCTAACTGAGGTCACAGGAGAAGCATCCAGAATGGAGGCCTCAAGGACAGAGTTGAACTTACAGGGTTTCCAAGGCTGTAAATATTTTTTCCTTCTTAATTGATTTGCGTGAAAGTTTACAAAGTGAATAATTTTCCCATTTGACCTTTGATACATGTTTTATGACATTAATTATGATATATACACAAGGTAACCACACGCTTCCCAGTTCGTCCCTGTGCTTCTCTTTTCCACTAATCCTTCTGTCCTACCTTTTTTTGCCTTCTGAGCTTTATCTATAAATCATTATGGAAGCACATTGCCTCATCTCTGTCCCATGGAGTGGCTGGTGGGTTCGATCCCCTGACCTTTATTTTGGTCAGTAGGTTTAATCCCCTGCCTCACCAGGGCTCTCTAGAGACGTGATGTCATTTCCATTTTTCATATGACCAGCTCCAGATAGAGCTAGCAGTGGTCAAGGTAGTCCCCTTGAAATCACGCACAGATCTTTTCAATTCTAGATCTCACATGCTTCTGGGACACACAGTGTCCTCCTGCCTCACTGCCACCCTCTAGGTCCTTCACCCAGGGCCAGCTCTCACAGCATGTGACCTGAGCAGTCCCCAGGACCCTTCACACAGACGAGCTCCACTCTTCATTTAGTGGTCTGCTACTACCATCTTCAAATCCTTAACACTCTTTTGAACCACCCCAGCCCCACTGCTGTGAGATCCCTCCATTGGATTGTAAATCTTTATGGGAGACGTTTGCCCATCTTCCTTCTAGAGGGTGACTCATGGATTTGAACTGACAACCTTTCAGTGAGTAGTTCTTTCTTTTGAGTGAGGACGCCTGCGTTTTCACTTTGTAAGGCTGTTGTTCTTAAGGAACGGTGATGGCAACTGGTTAAGGCATTTTTGGCTGCTAATCAGGACGTTGGTGTTTTGAGCTCAT